TGCTGAGATGCCTCCTCCCTGGAGCAGGGATGAGGGTTTCCATCCCCTACTCCTGACAGCACGGCAGGATGGGAACCGTGCCCATTGGCACTACCTGCTCCAGCCACAGCTGGGGGATGGCACCCCAGTCCCGGTGCCCTCAGCAAACAGATCCCATGGGATCTCCTCTGCCCGTGCTGCTTGGCCTGCTCTCCTTTCGTCTCCTGCGTGGTGGCAGAATGCCGCTGCAGGAGCCGACAGCCCCAGGCGATGCCCAGCGTGGCGCTGGCAGCACCGCAGGTCTGGGAGGGGATGATAAGATGGAGCAGGAGGGCAGGTGCCGGCCGCAGCCCGGTGGCATTTTGCCTCCATGTTCCGTCCCCCACGCGTGCACCCAGGCAGCGCTCAGCTCGATTTATCATCATGCTCCAGCACACATATTTTCTTGAGAAAAGGCAGATGTGGGTGAATCCGATGAAGATTATTCATCCCCCTTCCATTGAAAAAAAAGTCTACAGATAAAGGGGGGAAAAGATACCATCAGGCTGAAAATCGCCCTCGGTATTTTCCTACTTTGAACTGATTTTCCTTCCATTGCTGTATTTTCAGTAGAAGGCCAAGAAGAGACTTGGCGGGAGGGGGTCCATGGAGGAGGGCAAGCCCCGATATCTGGAGAGGAGCTTGGTCATCTCTTTAGCTCTGCTGCAGCCTGGCCACCCAAGCACCCCACCTCTTTCCCGGTCCCTGGTCCGACAGGGCTCCGACAGGGCTCCGACAAGGCTCTGCGCCTCTCACGTAGCCCCATACAAATCCTATGGAAAACATCAGGAAGGCGGAGGATTGCCCCAGGTGCATTGGGATCAGGATCAAAGACCCTGGGCTTTCAGTGGGGACAGTGTTTCCTGGGGTTTTATGCAGAAAATAAAACAGGAGACACCCCCCACCCCACCCCCCCGCCCATGCATTGCTCCCGGTGAGGATGCATCACCCCCCGTGTGCGCGGGGGCGTCCCGGGGGAGCAATGCACACGAAGCCCAAACATCTCCTCCTGCCGAAGGAGGCTGGGTGCAGCCCAGCTGGACCTGGGGGAAAACGCGAAATCTGGCAGCCTTGTCAGGGCAGGTTGGGAAGGGAAAGGCCCTGGGCTCCCCCCGGTCTGGACATCCCTGAGCTGAGCTTCTGCTGCTTTTTGAGCCCACAGCAGATCCTGCAGCGGCCAACCTTGTGTTCAAAGCCCATTTCTCCTGCCCGTTGGATGTGGATAAAGGCAGAAATGGGATGAAAAGGGTGATTCGGTGTGGCACTGGCTCCCTGCCCAGTGGCGCTGTATCCGGCCGGTCCCTTTGCACCTGAACAGGGAGCGCTTGGGTGAGCGGCTTCCTGCTCCGAAAGGGAGAAATAAACCAAGCTGATGAAGCTCCGTTACGGGAGGAGGGCAATGGGGTCGAGGCAGCTTTCAGCTGCAAAGCCCGAGCATCCTCTGAGCAGCTCCAGCATCGCCCACAGCTCCTGGTGGTGCAAGGAGACCGGAGCCCTCCCGCCGTGCCCGTATCCGCATGGTTCGTGGGTGGCGAACCTCTCCGGGCTGCTCTGCCATGGGCCACGTTTCGGCGGGGGCGTTCATCTCTGGTAGAGGCTAAGGCAAGGCAGAGCCCAGCGTTTGGGAGAGCCGAGGGGCGAGGCTGACAGCCCACCGAGTCCCACGCGCACGTGTTAAATTGTGACGGGGCGCTGCACGGTGGCTTCTGCAGCCCCTTCCCTGCGAAGGGGCCCAGGTCTGGTGGGTGAAACTGCCTGCACGGAGGGGAAGGGGGGAAGCTCCTGAGCTCAGGATAACCAGAGGCCGCTTGTCAGTATGCCACACCCTGGCCATCCCCTCCGGCTCCCCCGCCGGTGGGGACCCCCGCGCCAGCCCCAGCAAGAGAAGCAGGTCATCGCCAGCGTCTGGAGCAAGGTCAATGTGGAGGAATGCGGTGCCGAGGCCCTGGCCAGGTAGGTCCAGCTCCCGGGCACCAGCTCGGCTCCACCCTGGAGAGAGGAACTGTGGCGATGGCATTTGGGAGCATTAACGTGTCTGCTTGTGTCCCTCCTTCTCTCCCCAGGCTGCTGATCGTCTACCCCTGGACCCAGAGGTTCTTCTCTTCCTTCGGGAACCTCTCCAGCCCCACCGCCATCATTGGCAACCCCAAGGTCCGCGCCCATGGCAAGAAAGTGCTCACCTCCTTCGGGGAAGCCGTCAAGAACCTGGACAACATTAAGTCGACCTACGCCAAGCTGTCCGAGCTGCACTGCGACAAGCTGCACGTGGACCCCGAGAACTTCAGGGTGAGCCGTGTTTGCAGTCCCAGCCCTGTCCCCACGTCGTGCGGGGAAAGTCAGATTTTGCTTCGAAAGCAGGGGTGTTGCCTCCAGCCACGCTGTCTGGTGGGGGCAGAGTCTCCGTGCAGTCCCCGAGCGAGACGATGGCACGTGCAGGGCTGTTTGCAAGAGTGCGGGTGACTTTCACAATAAAAAGTCCCATTTCTAGTAGCAGCCCAGCAATGGGGAGGAGAAGGTATTGGGAGAGCCTTACCTGCAGGAGATCTGGTTGGGGACAACAGAAACAAAGCCAGGGGAAGGCGCAGCGGGCGCTGGGCGAGGCGGAGGCAGCGCCTTTAAGGAAATCTCAGGCCCCACGGCAGCAGCTTGGGTGCTCGACACCCACAGGGCGGGTTTCTGCCTCGTCCATGGGCTGCCCGTCTAGATGGGACAGTCCCCCCTCCTCCAATGCTTTGAAATAAAAATAGATCATTTTCGTCATTTATATCGGAAAAGAAAGATAAAAAAGCAAAACCCCGGCATTTTGCAGGGTGGGTCTCAGGCCAAATTGCTTTAGCACCCCAAGAATGGGGGGAATAGTTTCAACGTTCTTTTTTAGCAATGAGGCAAATATTGTTTTCCCAAACCCAGAGCTTTCTGTGCAAAGACTGAGGATCTCCTTGTAGCAGTGCCAGGGACCTGGGAGTGAGCCAGCCCCTGCAACCCGCCCTGCAGCCCCAGGGCCGCTCCGATGGGGCTGGGGAGGAAGAGGAGGAGTGTGCAGCCTATGAGAGCCTTCTCCAGAGGGGAATTCAGCCCCGGGGAGAAGCCAGGAGAAAGGAGACGCAGCCCATGGGCTGCAGGGTGGTGTCTGGGGCGGGGACAGGGACGGGAGGGAGGTCTGCAGCAGGAGACCTGGGCAGACAGAGCTTGCAGAAGGGACGAGGCTGTTCAGAGATGAAGAGGAGGCAGGACAAGAGGATGTTGAGGAGTTGTGGGCAGCAAGAGCGGCAGAGCCTTCTCCGAGAGGTGGTGGCTCCAGCAGCTCAGCCCCAGCTCGGGGATGTGCGGTCCTTGCTCCATGGTCTGCTGCGGCATGAGGGTTCATGCAGCCCTAAACCTCCCTCTAAAAAAAAGCTCCTTGGGGGCATCCTAATCATTGTCCTGGCTTCCCACTTCACCAAGGATTTCACCCCCGCCACCCAGTTTGCCTGGCAAAAGCTGGTCAGCGTCGTGGCTCATGCCCTGGCCCGCAAGTACCACTGAGCATCCCGGGACCGGCCGTGCGAGGAAGAGCCCCTGCGCCGCCACGAGCACCTCTGAGCCCAGGGAGATGCCTTTTGGGCACTGACAGGCTGTAACCACCAAATAAACGCCTCCCAGCACCACCTCTGCGGAGTCTCCCTGCCTCTGTGCCGGGGAAGGAGGGCAGCCGGGGGAGATCGTGCCGTCGCCGGCAAAGCCGTGCGCCTGTGGGTGTTATTTCTTGTTTCTAAGGGCTGTTGCAGGCAGAGTTTCCTCAACTCTGCAGTGCACTCCAACGTGCGCTCCCTGCCAATGCACACGCCGGGGTCCGTGCGGAGCAAACCCGTGCCCGGGGCCCTGGCACCCGGGGGGGTTTCAGAGAGGGGTTGCAGGAGGAATAAGTGATGGCAAAGACTCTGCCTCTGTTCTCCCAGCTCTGCATTAGCGTGCGGTACGGTGAAACCAGCACCGCCCGGGGCACAGGGCTCCCCCCAAGCCGTTGCTGCTCTCGGGGAGCCGGCGCATGCCGTGCTCTGGGGCTGGGGGTGCACAACCTCCTTTTGGAGCAGTGGATACAGGGGGAAACCTTTGAACTCCAGCTCTTGGGAGGCTCAGGAGATGTCCACTTCTTCTGCCCCTATCAGCTGGTCTGGCAGGAGATGCTGCTTCCCCAAGGGGGGCTTTATCATGCAGCTGCACAGAGCAGACCCTCATCCCCAGGCACCCACCGCCCCAAAGACCCCCCTCTCTCCAGACTGAGGGCATTCAGTTCCTAATGTCACCTGGCGCATAAAGCCCACCAGGCTGACTGGTATATGGGCTTTATTGTGCCTGGCCCCCCTTCTCCCACCCGAGGGGGCTTCATGGTGCGTGGAGTGAGGCTGTGGGTCAGGACTGGCTGTTCATCCACTGGGGGAAAGATGACAAGTTCCGTATTTTTTTAGCTATTTTATTCTACAAAACAGGAAAAAACCCACAAAAATGGTCAGGGCTGTGTTTATCTTACTCTTAAATCTTGTCTTAAACCAAGACTGGAGACACCTTGCACAAGGGGGCTGACAAGCGGTGCTGTTTACAGCATCTGGCGCAGCAGAGTCCTGTCTGTGACGGACATTTCTGGAGTTACCGGGGACAACATGGTTGTTTCGGGTCACAGAAATGGTCAGTGTGTTTATCTTACTCTTAAATCTTGTCTTAAACCAAGACTGGAGACACCTTGCACAAGGGGGCTGACAAGCGGTGCTGTTTACAGCATCTGGCGCAGCAGAGTCCTGTCTGTGACGGACATTTCTGGAGTTACCGGGGACAACATGGTTGTTTCGGGTCACAGTCTTTCAAAACATGCCCTCATCTCACATGACTTCCGCAGGCTTCTCCTCTGCATCAAATCCGCAGGTTTTTGTAGCAAAAACATCACAGCTCCTGGAAACGCTGGCCCTGCTTCGAGCAGGGCATCAGGCCAGAGACCCCCGGAGAGCCCTTCCCACCCAAATTATCCTGTGGTTCTGTGCTCTGCGTCTGCAAGGTGTTTGCTTGCTTTTGTCACCTATGGCTTGTTTGGATGGGGTCCATAAGGGAACAAGCTGAAGGTGTCCTTATCAATCTGCCTTGTCTGGATGCTGTAAAAGACAGGATTGAAGAGGGGTGGGAGGAGGGTGTAGATGTTGCCCATCACAGTGAGGAAGATGGGGGTGCCTCCTTCCCAGCCCTGTGCAGGATGGGCTAGCCAAGTTCTGGGGTGAAGAAGAGTGAGACTGCACAACCTTCAGGCCCTCGTCCTTGGGGGCAATGCTGACAGGTGTCATGAGGACCACGATGCAGGACAACAAGATGAAGGGGAGATCTGAACCCATGGTGAAGAAAATGAGGTCCGGGACATAGATGAACACTGGAGGGCAGCCAGGTCACCATGGGATGGAGCCAAAGGGGATGGGACAAGGCACTCTGTGGTCACCAGGCAGCCAGAGGAGATGGAGGACGGGTGTATGCTCCTCTGTGGGTGCGTCAGCCCTATTTTGGCTGCCCTTGTGCCCGTTGGCATGGTCACAGAGCTCCATGGGAGGCAGAGAGCCATCGGCCTGTCAAGGGGCATGGCAAAAAGCACTGCTGGGGCCAGGAAGGTGGGGGAGCAGGTAAGGAATAGCGGAGACATGTGGGGGTACAGGCCAATTGCTGTGAGCAAGGACCACAGCACCCCTGGCACGGTGGAGAGACACAGCCTAAGGTCAGCGAGGGCCAGCATGGAGAGGAGATGATCTAGGGCTGTTGGAGGCTTTGGTTTGCCTTTTAGCATGCAGGAAAACACAATTTCCAATGCTCGTGATGATGCAAACAGAACAAATTGAGGTGGAAATCCGGGTAAGATGTCCTTCACAGCCGGGGAGTGTGGTTAGCAGAAAGGCTGTGACCATGAGGCTGGTCCAGTGCTCACCCCATGAGCTGCTCTTGGTGTCCTCTCACTTCTCAGGAATCACAACCTGCGCAGCCCAGGTTTGGTTCAGGTCTGATTCAGAAATCATAAAACACTTCCAAATCCCTATGAATTGCATCATGCAGCCCTGAATCAAGGGGCAGCTCACACGAGCAGGCTGACGGATTGTTCTCCTCTTTTCTGGAAGCTTCTCTCAAGCCTGAGACCATCCTGCAAACCTCTGATGAACACGGTGCTGCTTCGGAGAGTGAGGAAGGGAATTTCCACGACAACGGCACAGACAAATAACTGACCAGATTTAATGCGAGGAGGATTGCTGCTGCTGAAAATCAGTGGGAAAAGACATTAGGAAATGGTGTTAAATTATACAAATCGGAAAACTGTTGTGACCTGGGGCTGCGATGCCTGCTCTTCCTTAGCTGCTGGGAGACGTCACCGCTCCTCCCTCCCGCCCTCCCGCAGACCCACCGCGAGAAATGGGTCTGCAAATGGTGGGACAGCAGAGAAAAACACTTATTCACTTCCTAATAGACATTGTCTGTGGTTTTGTCAGGTGCCAAGAAAATTAATTAGTCGAATATCTGTGCTAAAGTAATTAAGGGAGCCTGGGCGATGAAAAGTGAGGTGGTGCGTTTGGGGCTTGTGAGAGAAGCGTCCGTGTTTTCTCTGCAGTGAAACCCTCTTGCTGCCTGCCGTGGCATGTTGCCTGGGAATGCAGCCTTAAAAACTCCTGCTTAAAAATATAATCAAACCATGGAGCCTTTTAAGGGATTCTTATTCAATGTTTAAAGTCAGGTTAAGGAGCAGGCCAACCAGCGGGCTATCAGGGATAATTATTCTTATCTGTCCTGACCCTCATGCTTACCAAAATAACAGGAGCAGAAAAAACCCACCCCAGTTCTCTTCATTTCTTAGCATAAGCCAAAAATACTCTTTAACTGACTCTGTGCTGCCCCTGCTGGGGTTATATATAGTGCAAGGCACGATTTTATGCCTCTAGGGGGAATCCTTCTCCAGGAGCATCAGCGTAACAGAGCATTTCGGGAGCCCGGTCTGGCAGCTGCTGGGGCTGGGATGCGACCACAACAAACCCCAGCCCTTCGTGGGGTGCGTTTGTTGTTTCCCCGCGCCACCTGAAATGAGGATGCACGGCAACGACTTCGGCCTCATTTCGCAAAAGATGCTTTGGTGCTTTGGAGACATAAATAAAGGTGTTGTTTTCTCCAGGGAATACCCAAGTGCCCAATGCCTCCATGCTCCCCCAACAACCATTTCGGGTAGTTTTTTACATTGCATGTTACATTGCAGACATATTTGGACAGAAAATCCATCTGCCCGTGAAACAAGGGGGATCCTTTCCGGCTTGCCTAGCCCATAGGAGAGGGCTTAATCTATGGGTCCAGCTCTGCTGGCCGTTTGCCATGAGCCGCACCATGCAAGGACCGGGAGCAGGACCACAACCATTTCCCACAGCAAAATCTGATGTCATGGCAACTGCAGCACTGCTGCAAAAAACCTCGAGAAATATTAAGCTATTAAG